TCGGCCCCCACCACCCCATCTCAGGAACCCGGGGCCCTTCTTGCTGCAGCTTGGTGCTCGTCACTGGGCTGGTTGCATGTGGGGGGCAGGTGTGGCTGAGTCCTGAGGTCTCCCACCTCAACAGCTCGGGAGAGCTCGGGGCACTTCCTGTGGCAGTTTGGTGGTCATCACTTGGCTTTTACAAACTAGTAATTGGCCAAGGTTACGTAGCTAAAATGTGAGGGAATCAGGCTGTTAGATTCCTGAACCCAACTCTCCTAACCACTAGGGTGTTGTGTCATGTGGCATGGAGGGCTGAGGGCAGAGAAATTTTAGCCTGGGGTCCACCTCTGAATATAAATTCTTGAATTTATACCCTATCCCCTCGCATTTGGGTGTCTGGTAAGAAGACACTGGACAAATTTGCTTTTTTAAAAAAAAGTCTTGTAAATTCCAGAGTATAACTCATATACACCCTGAATCACTCTATTACTATCAACCCCACCCCCCCATGGCAGATGGTTAGTATTCTGAGGCCATGACAATGGTTTGGAGTACAAGAGTTTTTCCAGGAATTCCGCTTCGTTGGAATCATGGAAATAATTTAATATGGACATTTTATTCCCTTTTATTCCATTTTGGCGAAAACAAGGAGGAATCCTTTCCTTAAGGACTTCGATCTAACACCCTCGGAGAGAGTTGGCGTCTCTCAGAGTGGATCTTCCTCACTTCAGCTCTGGGACAGGAAAGCAGTCTGCAGGAAAGAGGAATGCGCCTGTAACCTATCAGCATTCATTTCTGAGCACAGCGTTTAATTCCAAGTCGAAGCACGTAAGGCTTGGTAATAGCAGTTCCAAACTGCTTTTTTTCAGGCTGGCTGGTTAGTTCACTGGGGACAGTGTGGTGCTGACAATGCCAAGGTCAAGCGTTCAGATGCCCATACTGGCCAGCCACCAAAAAATAATTACCAAATTGCTTTTTTCTTCATCACCGAAGAAATAAATTTCCATACCAAGACTATACCATTATTTATGCTAATTTAGTCATTTGCTAGAAAAAAAATTTACTTTAAATGTAATTTTTATTTTGGGACAGAAATAAACCCCAGGAAACCGCACAGTAAACTTTTACTTGTAAATGGACTGGTTTGAGAAAGCGGGAGAGGGAAGATGAAGAGCTGGCTGTGCTCACAGTTGCCAGCAGTGAGTGGAGGGTCCCCTCTGCTGTCACCTCTCTGTGCCTTTGAAAATGACACTACTTGTGAACTTGAATAAGATGGATACATATTACTAAATTAGTTTTTCTAACAAATGTCAACTTTCTGGTGTAAAAAGTATTCACACATACATTAGGAAGAGCCGGGTTTGAACTGACAGTCGGCCACCAGCATGTATTTGCTGTCGACTACTTGTCAGGCACCATGGGGAACAGCAGACACTGATCCTGTCCTTGTTGAGTTTGAAGTTAGTGGGAAGACATTGCCATCAGCCAAATAATTGTAAATAATTAAATGACTACACACGTGTGAACTGCTATGGAGCAGAAGTTCTTAAGGACTGAGAGTCGATGAAATACTCTTCTGGAATAGCAGAGAAGTGTCTAAGAAGTATTTTGGATATAAGTGACAGAAGTCATTTTCCTGATACTGTAACTAAAGGGTTTTATTTTATTTTTTGGTTTGTTTTTGGTATTGTCTCCATTTTACAAATGACAGTGAAT